CAGGCTCAGGGACTGCCTAAAAGGAGCTGGCTTCTGCCAGCAGGCCTCTTGCCCTGGGGGGCATGACTTTTCCCCAGGATATAGTATCTGCAGACAGTGAAGGGCCCATCTGCAGGACAGACTCGTCCTACCTCAGTCAGGGGAGGGAGAAGAATCTGGAATAAGAAGGTGATAGGAGAGCTTCTAAGTGTCGTGGAAGGGGCATAGGACTGGACATTGAGATCCTGGGTGCTGGCCCTGTCTCTGCACCTAACAAGCCCTTTGTCCTCAGCCCTCCCTGGCCCACGTCCTCTTCTGTCAGACAGTGGCTTTTGGGAGATGATGGCCGAGTTTCTTCCGGTTCAGCATTTGTGGCTCTGTGGCACCACAGGGGCAGTAGCCTGAGGCCCTTGCAGCAGCCTCTGCCTCTGGCTCCAGAGAATGGACCCTCTCCCAGAAACTTCAGGCTGGAGCAGTGTGTTTTCAGCCAGAGCTAGGGCCACGCTGACCCCAACGCAAGGGGAGATGGCTCCTGCTCAGCGAATGGGAAGGAGGGAGAAGAGGCAGAAAAGACAGCTTGTCGACTACCTGCTATGGCCAGGTCTTATATTACTAATGTCAGTCACAACTTTTGACAATGTATCAATGCTGTCGCCATCATCCCCATTTTATGGATGAGAAAACTCTAGCTTGTCCAGTCTGTGTGATTCCAAAGTCTGATTTTCCATCTTTCGTGTTGCCTTTTCCGAACTTAAACGCAAGCTGAGTTTAAAACGCAAGCTGAGTTTAAGCCCTGGACCTGCCCATTGCTGACTGAACGTGCGTGAGTGCACCACTGTCTCCCCACCAGGTTTGGGCGTCCTCACCTGTAAAGTGAGATCTTTGCTGTGAGGCTGTGTCTTAGTCATCTAGTGCAGCTACAACAGAAATACCACAAGTGGGTGGCTTTAACAAAGAGAAATTTATTTCCTCACAGTAAAGTAGTAAAGTCCAAATTCAGGGCATCAGCTCCAGGGAAAGGCTTTCTCTCTATGTCAGCCTTCTTCTCTTCAGTGTTCCCCCAGACTAGGAGCTTCTCTGTGCAGGGACTCCAAAGGACGTGCTCTGCTCCTGGCACTGCTTTCTTGGTGGTGTGAGGTCCCCCTGTCTGTCTGCTCACTTTATATGAAGAGATTGCCTCAGGATACAATCCAGTCTTGTAGACTGAGTTCTGCCTCACTAACACAACTGCTGCCCATCCTCCCTCATTAACATCATAGAGGCAGGATTTACAAACATAAGAAGAAAATCATACAATACCAGGAATCATGGCCCAGCCAAACTGACACACACATTTTTTGGGGGACATAATTCAATCCATGACAGGCTGAAATGAGACAGCCGCGTAGAATGCTCAGCACAGGCGCCGGTGCAAAGCCTGGGCTCAGTCACTTTTACATCTAAAAAACATGTTTGTGAGGTGCTTTGTAAACAGCTGAGTGCTGTCCCACTGTAAGTGTAGCTGCTATCATCCCCCGATAAACGGGCTGAGTTTTGCTTCTTATTCTCTGAGGCTGTTGACACAACGGTTAAGCGCTCGGCTGCTAACCAGAAGGTCAGCAGTTCAAACCCACCTGCTGCTCCGTGGGAGAAAGATGTAGCAGTCTGTTTCTGTAAAGATTTACAGCCTTGGAAACCCTATGGGGCAGTTCTACTCTGTTCTGTAGGGCTGCTATGAGTCAGAATCAACTTGGTGGCAGTGGGTTTCTGTAAGGCTGGGGTCCTTCTGTGCCTGCACAATGAGCCTAAACCTGTCTCAGGGCCAAGACCAGAAGCCTGACTTCTTGCTGCCCCACAGTGCCTGAGACCTGGTCTTCTCCCACCTGGCCTGGAAGAGCTGCTGCTGGGTGGGGCACTCTGTCTTGCTGACACCCAATCCTCTAGGTAGTGGGCCTGCCCCAGGCACTCAGCTACAAAGGGATCCTGTTTCCCCAGCCGGGAGTGCTGCCAGCATTTCCTCCAGGTCCCAGCCTGTTCAGGGAAAACCACCCCAGTGGAGAAAGCAAAGACCTCCCAGACTGCCCAGGGAAGGGATGTGGGCAGGACCAGCCCTACAGCCAGCCCTCCCCCAAAGCAACCTAACTCAGGGGCGGGACAGCCCAGTCTTTCCTTTGGGCACAGGTGTGTTCCACCAGCAGGGGGGCACCTCACACCAGGCTGGGAAGTAGGGCTCGTGGCAACACTTCACCTGACCTGCAGTACCGCCTGCTTGCTAGGTGGGGTCTGGAACTCTCATTCATTCAGCAAATATTTTTTGAGTGTCTGCTATGTGCCAGAGCCCTAGTGGCACAGTGATTAAGAGCTGGGCTGCTAACAAAAAGATTGGCAGTTGGAATCCACCAGCTGCTCCTTGGAAACCCTATGGGGCAGTTCTACTCTGTCCTATAGCGTTGCTATGAGTCGGAATCAACTTGATGACGAGGTGAGTTACTGTGTGCCAGGAGCAGGGAATAGAGTGGTGAAGATGGAGGATGGAGCTGGGTGCTGAGCTCATGCCCTCTGAATAACAGTGAATATGGTACCAAAAAGCCATATAGGTATCAGTTGTCAGTACTCTAAGCTGCTTAGGGTGAGTTCTGGTGGTGGCGCCACTACCAGTCTGTGCTCTGGCGTGACACCAGGATGAGGAAGTGGCTTCCATACCTCCCCACCCCACAAAAAGAAAAAAACCCTTGCCTTGGGCTTCTGGTTGACTGTCATGGATTTGCCGGGTACTTCCCTTGTCCTTAAAGAGCCCCGGCCTGAGCCCTGGAATTCTCATCTCTGACCTGCTCACCTAATCCTGGGCAGTTGGCCTGTCCCGTTCGCCAGCCGCTTGCTAAGGCCGGCTCTGCACCCTTTCTTGCTTCGCAGTTTCACTCAGTTGCCTCACCGCAGCACTCCCAGAGGGCTCTTCTGCAGAAGCAAGCCAAGGTTCCAGAGCAGGTCTGCCTGCTGAGCCATGCAGTTGGTCTGTGGCCCACACTCAAGCCCTTGTCCTGTCCTGCCCAGGATCTAAGAGCCACTGGCTGCAACATAGGCAGAAGCAAGACCCCAGAGAGAGGGCAATTTCTGGTCCCACTGGGACTGGGACTGGTTCCAGCCAGGTCCCCTGACCCAGACAGGGCCCCAGATTTCGCTCTGACTTCCCAGCCCGTCATATCAGAACATCTCCCCTCCCTTCAGCTCTCCTTTGACCTCCACCATTCCTGAGGACCAGAGCCCTTTTTCCATGTCTCCAGGAGTATGTGGGATAGGTTGTCATAGCCGTTTTCTCCTCTTGCCCTGGGATGTGCTCAGGTCTCTGAGTAGATGTGACCATTCTCCCAGAGGCCTGTGCTGCCAGGACTGTCACCCAGGAGCTCCACCCCTGCTGAGCTGACCCTCCCCCCAGCCAGCGTCTGCCATCATGCCCTTGCCTGTGCTGTGGGGAAGAGCCCCCCGCTCCTCTTCCAGACTCAGGCACAGAGAAGCCAGGGGTGGACAGGATCTTTGTCAAACCGAAGCTATAACTGCTTAGCACCACCTCGCCCCCACTATGTAACACTGGGGGAGACCCAGGGGACAGAAGGCAGCCCCTGCTCTTGGGGAGATCACCCTTGTTGCGGAGGGGAGCCAGGAGCGTAGGGCTGCGCATCACCTGTGGCTGCTCTGAAACTACCAAGGAAAGACATTTCATAAAAAGAGGCCCTAGTCCTGCACTTCCGAGACATTCATTCCCTGCGACGTCTGGGTGGCACAGTCAGAGCAGGTCAGTAGCCCACAGGAAATGATTCTGGCTCTGTGTTGACAGCAAGCTTGACTTGAGTCACCAGTGGGATGTGGCTGGCACCGTCAGAGCTGTGTCAACTAACGCAGAATGTCAGCCTGAGCGGGGGGCCGTGTCTTGCAGACTCGGTCTGGGTGAGGTCATGTGTGCTGGGCTCTGGGCCTGGCTCACCAGCATGCTTCCAGAATCAGCAGCCAGGGGTGTGAAAGGCAAGGATAGGCTGGAACGTTTAGCCAGGAGACGAGAAGATTCAGAAGCAGGTCAAAAAGTCTGCAAATATTGGAAGGGCTTTCCAATGAAAGAGGGATTAGACTGGACTCCAGAGAGCAGAGTGAAGCCCAGCAAAAGTGAAATTCGGGAGGGTGCTGTAGTGCCTGGATGGCAGGCGGTATGGAGTGATGGGTAGTTGCTGCCTGAAGCACTGCACCACAAAGGATTCTGGGTCCTGTCTGGGCTCAGTGGGAAGGCGTGCCGTCACCAGCGTCACCATCTGCTGGGCGCTGCAGCGGGAGGGCGCTCCAGTAGGGCCAAGTGTTTGCCCCCCTGCTTCAGAATCAGCATTAGCAAAACTTTTCAAACTGTTCCAGTTATGTGAAATGATGGGGGGTGGTCTGTATAGGGAGGTCATTTCCCAGGGCCCGAGTATCCCCACAGACCAGGGCTCTTAATAGCTTTTCATGCCGTGGATCCCTTCAGCAGTCTGGAGAAGCCCCTGGACGTTCTTAGAGTAATGTTTTAAAATGGGTAAATAAAAGACAGGATTATTAAAGAAGCCAGTTATGATTGAAATAAACATTAAAACATTAGAAAAGCAAAATTGGGACAGTAATACATACATGCTTCTTAGCATATTAAATGGTACACGGTGAGTCTAATTACTGATATTTTGAGGTTGTGATGAGTGTGAAAGACGTTACACAACAACCCTAATGTGATGACAAGGCCGTCTGTGATTTCTGTACATGACAGTCGCAGGGACTGCTGTACTGCATGCACACTTGGAGGCATTGCTAAATTTCATCGAGAGCTTAGTGGAAATGAAGGCTCGCCGGCCCCCCACGATCTGTCTGTGGATCTCGGGTTGACTCCTTGCTATAGAGACTGGCTTCTTTTAGAGAGAGCCTCACTGTGGGGCCAAGTCACCAAAAAGTCCATGCCTCTTGACATTGAGAGGGGTAAGGTTCTCCAGACCTGCCATACTAGCAGGGTTTGACCTTCTCCCTCTCTGCTGCAGGTGGGCAGACATCTTTGTGGCCGAGGGCTGTGGAGGGAGCAAGGAACACAGCTTCCAGCATCCCTTTCTCCAGGTACCTGCCCCATCCCTCCCCACCTCCTGTTTCTCTTACCTCAGACCTGGGAGGCAGTGCTGTTCCCTGACCTAGGGATGGAGCCTCCTTTGCTCCCAGAAGAGGCGTCTGCTTCACTCTCTGTCCCCAGAACAGGCCAGGGTCTGAGGTGGCACTTTGAAGGAGGCAGAGGGCACAGTCCTCTGCAGGGGTGCTGGTGATGGTCATGCCCTGGGCACCAAGAGGCCAGACCTCACCACGCCCAAGTTGAACACATTTGGAAAACACCAACGCCTGTAGCAAAATCCTGCTCCCTTTCATCCACTGGGAGCCCAGACCCAGCTGGGACAAGGCAGACACCATAAATGAAAGAGACCTCAGAGCTAGGAATTGGGAGACTCAAGTGTCAGCCCCAGCTCTGCCAGCAACTTGCTTTGTAACCTTAAGTAAGTCTTTCAACCTCTCTGGGCCTCAGTTTTTCCATCTGGAACTTGACTAGAGATGAGCCTAGATTGGTGGTTTTCAGAAAGGGTTCTACACGTCCATAGGGTTTCCGTCAAGATGTTTCAGCAGATAGGGGTAGGCCTAGGAGGTGGGTACCTGGACACCCACAGCAGCTGAGCGTAGGAGTAGACCTAGGAGGCGGGTGTCTGGACGCCCACAGCTCCTGAGCGTAGGGGTAGACCTAGGAGGCGGGTGTCTGGATGCTCACAGCCCCTGATCGTAGGGGTAGACCTAGGAGGCAAGTGTCTGGACGCCCACAGCCGCTGAGCATAGGGATAGACCTAGGAGGCGGGTGTCTGGACGCCCACAGCAGCTGAGCACAGGGGTAGACCTAGGAGGGAGGTGTCTGGATGCCCACACCGGCTGCTTTTGTCTGTTTTACATGTTGGGCTTCTAGGTAAGCTCTTGTTTGAAGAGACGTTATGCTGACAAAAGAAGTTGTTAAAGGTGATTCCCCAGGTCCCTTCCAGTTCTAAAGCCCTGCGGTGCTTGTCCCTGCAGGCAGTGGGCATGTTCCTGGGGGAGTTCTCCTGCCTGGCTGCCTTCTACCTCCTCCGCTGCCGAGCCGAGGGGCACTCGGATTCCAGCGTGAACCCCCAGCAGCCCTTCAACCCCCTGCTTTTCCTGCCCCCAGCCCTCTGTGACATGACTGGAACCAGCATCATGTACGTGGGTGAGTACCAGGCCAGGCTGGGAAGGGCCCCGGGGACGCATGGGTGAAACAGCCACCATAGCTCATCTTCCCTTCATCTCTGCCCCTCCCCCATACACATTCTCTCTCTCTCTCTCTCTCTCTCTCTCTCTGTGTCTCTCTGTGTCTCTCTGTCTCTCTCTCTCTGTCTCTCTCTGTCTCTCTCTCTCCCCCTCCTCTCTCTCTCTCTCTCTGTCTCTCTCTCTCTCTCATACACACACACACACACACACACACACACACACTCATTCAGCAAACATTTACTGAGCACTTACTATGTGCTGGGCATGTCTTCAGCAGCGAGGACACTGCCATGAACAAACAGACCCTGTCCTCAGGAGCTAACAGTCATGCGTCTCCTCCTCCCAGCTCTGAACATGACCAGTGCCTCCAGCTTCCAGATGCTGCGCGGAGCGGTCATCATATTCACGGGCCTGTTCTCAGTGGCCTTCCTGGGGCGGAGGCTGGTGCCGAGCCAGTGGCTGGGCATCCTTGCTACCATCGCGGGGCTGGTGGTCGTGGGCCTCGCTGACCTCTTGAGCAAGCACGACGATCAGCACAAGCTCAGCGAAGTGATCACAGGTGCGGCCCAGCCCAGGGTCCAGGGGAGTCCCATCCTGTCTCCACCTGGGAGCCCAGCACAGAGTCCTTCACCTGTGGCCAAGCTCTGCTGTGTGCCAGGCCCTGGGAGGGGTCCCACAGGGGAGAGATGATTTGGGCAGACACCTGCTCTCCAGGTGACCAGTAGAGGGTAGGGTAGGCTACAACTGTACAAGAAAGACAGTAACAAGGAGCATGAGAGGGGTGGGTAAGCAACAGGGGTGACAAGGAGTTGGGGAGCTGTGCTGTGACACATATACACACAAACTGCTGGATTGGGGAGAAGAAAGGAAATAGCATTTATTGAGTACTTACCACGTGTCCAGTGTGGCACTGAGGACTGTGCATTCCTTATCACAGTAATCCTCACAGTCCCAGAAGGGAAGCTTCACAGCCCCAGCCCCTGGGTCACTCAGAGCTAGGATTAAACCAGAAATGTTGTCTCAAAGGCTTTTGCTTCCTAAAAGACCTGCTTCCCTTACTGAGCTTGCAGGCAGGCAGGCCGACCAGCCTCCAAACCTTCAGGAGCCTCAGCCTCTTCATGAGAGAGAGAGGTGACAGGGCCTGCCCCTCAGTGGCCAAGGGGATCAGGCACGGGGCAGGAGGACTGTGCCTCTGAACTGCATGTTGCCCTGCGGAGGTCAGGGCTGTGTGTGTTGTTGGGTCTCTGTGGGACTGTCTCCCCTAACTGTGCCCACCACCCAGCTGCCGGCCCCATGGCCATGGCGCCTCCCTCCCTCCCGACCTCACCCTAGCCTCTCCTTTCCCACAGGGGACCTGCTGATCATCATGGCCCAAATCATCGTCGCCATCCAGATGGTGCTGGAGGAGAAGTTTGTCTACAAACACAACGTGCACCCACTGCGGGCAGTTGGCACTGAGGGTATGTGGGCGTGGGGGCCAGGAGGGTGCTGGGGGGAGGCATGTGGAGTGGAAGCACAAGAAGCAGCTTGGGGTGAGGTGGGGGAGATGTTGGAACGGGTTGGGCCTCCTGCCCCCGTTCTTTCCTCTCTTTACCAGGCCCAACAAATACTCTGACACCTGCTGTGCTCAGGGCAAGCTGCTAGGGTAGGAAGAGGACGGAGACAAGTGAGATGCCAGCCCCTCTCTGGAGGAGTTGACTATCAAGAGGAAAGGCCGGGCAGTGTGCTTTAGCTGGGACCACTTGTGCTCGGGTGGTGTTTCACTTGCCAGGCATATCCAAGTCTCCGAATAAGGAAGATGGTGTTCGCGCTGCAGATTTCAGCGGGCAAGGGTGGGAAGGAGAAAACTCCAGACAGAGCTAACGGAGAGCTGGCTGTGCGTTTGGGAACCAGTGAGGAACACAGTTAGGGCGAGATAGAGGGTTGACGTTGGGGAAACAATCAGGAACTAGGTAGGAAGATCAGGCAAGGGGATTTCAACTTTAGTAGCAGGCAGGGAGGAGCCCCTGAAGGTGTTTGAGCAGGGAAGTGACTATCAAAATTATGCTTTAAGAGATGGAAGCTCCAGTGCTTCATGGCCTATGCCTGTCCAGCAGGGAGCTGTTTGTTACTGGTCCACGGTGAGATAAGGAGCCTCAGCAGAATGTAAATCAGCCAGATCAGCCGCATCATTAAGCAGACTGTGTATTCCTTTTTTTTTTCTTAGCAAGACTTCATGAGCAAAGCAGTGTATTGATTTACATTCTGCCGCAAGCTTCTAGTCACGGACCAGTGGCACACACTGAATAGAGAGCTGTTTTTCCAAACTTGTGAAAGCAATGTACTAGTTCTTTTTTTAATTACAGTCAGCTATTCTTTTATTAATGATAGAATAGAATGGATTAGAAAACGTCAGAGACCATTGTACGTGGTAAGGGTAGCTATTGTTATGTGAGACGTCTTTTACTGAAGTGCATGCATAGCCACACGCAGGCACACGTGTATTCTGCATCACAATGTAAAATGTATTTGTTACTCTTGGTGCAGTCAACAGAACCTGCATTCAGGTGGAGAGAGGGGCAGCTCGAGCCCGGTTTAGTGAGTCATCCTAGGTTCCTGATGGAGTGATGAGGGACTGGTTTCAGGAGGGGGCCGTTGGGCCCAGAAGGAAGGAGCTGGGGTGTGAGTGCCGCTGAGAAGGGGTGCTGGAGCTGGGGGAGCTCTGCTCAGGTGGGGTATGCCAGGGGTCTGGGGGGCAGTGGGGAGTGTGACGTGTCCCCTCTGCTCCTGCAGGACTGTTTGGCTTCGTGATCCTCTCCCTGCTCCTGGTGCCCATGTACTACATTCCTGCCGGCTCCTTCAGCGGAAACCCTCGCGGGACACTGGAGGACGCGCTGGATGCCTTCTGCCAGGTGGGCCGGCAGCCGCTTATCGCCCTGGCACTGCTGGGCAACATCAGCAGCATCGCGTTCTTCAACTTTGCGGGCATCAGTGTCACCAAGGAACTGAGCGCCACCACCCGCATGGTGCTGGACAGCTTGCGTACCGTGGTCATCTGGGCACTGAGCCTGGTGCTGGGGTGGGAGGCCTTCCACCCGCTACAGATCCTTGGCTTCCTCATCCTCTTGATGGGCACTGCCCTGTACAATGGACTGCACCGCCCGCTGCTGAGCCGCCTGTCCTGGAGCCACCCCCCAGCAGAGGAGAGCGAGCGTGAGAGACTGCTTGGTGACACCCGGACCCCCATCAACCACACCAGCTGAGCCTCCCACAGGGACACCTGGATGCTGCTCCTTCACCCTGAGGCTGAGACTGCAAGGCTGGCGGGCCTTAGGTGCCCTGTCCCTGAGGTCTCACCCTGCCATTTCCCCATAGACCTCGGAACAGCTGCTGCCCCAATCCTCCTCCTGTCTCCCCATCACCTCCAGGGTGGTGTTATCAAGCCCCCTCGGGCCTGAGTGGTGACAGCCCCCAGCGAGACTCCTCAGCCCTCGGAGCCCCTCCTCAGCTAAATCGTGAAGCTGAGCTGCACTAATTTGCAGCTCTGATAGTTCCTTCTGAATCATGAGTTAGATTTGTTCTCCAAAACAGAGAAGTCCATGAACAAGTTCAAATCAGAACTGAGCACTGTATTTTCTAAAACCTGTAAGCTAAACCTTCAAGATATTCCCCAAACCTGTCCGGAGACCTGGTTTCAGCCCAGCTCTGCCACGAACCAGGCTGTGCTCCTGGGTGCTTTACCTGGTCACTCAGGCCTGGGTTTTCTGCTCTGTAAAATAGTGTCAATTCTGTGGCCTTCGGTGCCTTCCAGCACTGGCATTCTGTGGGCCTGTGATGTTGACCAACCAGGGAAAGGAGTGAAAAGCCCATTAACTGGAAATGCCCATCTGCCCACAGTGCCTCCCCTCCCCTAAGGCCTGTTTTGATGTCCTTGCACACACACACACCCAGAAGTCCCCTACCCGGGAGAGACTTCAAAGGGAATTTTCCTGAAGCCCTGGACAATAATTTTTATGAGCTCTTCACCTTCCATTTTAAAGATGAGGAAACAGGCCCACTGTTGTAAGTTACTTGGCAAGAGGGCTCCCCTGTTGTCACATGTGTACCTCAGCCCTGCATCTAGCCCTATAGGAGTTCCTCTGGGATTATGATAAGGCCTGCCATTTAGAATAATTCCAGTATCCCAGGCACTGGGTTAAGTGCTTAACATGCTGTTCTCTTGTGACAACCTTCCAGGGTGGGTACAAAGGAGGAAACCGTGGCCCAGAGAAAGTTAAGTGACTTCCCCATGGAGCCAGTATTCTAGCCTAGGTTTGTCTGATTCCAAACTTGTGGGTTCACCTACCATCTTGATCTATGGGGCCTTTGGGGTAGGCTTTCCTAGGGCTGGGATAGAAGCATCAGGTACTGCTGTCCTCCCAGTAACCTTACCCTGAAGAGGAAGGACTGGCATCAGGAGCCCCAGAGCTGAGCAGCTGTGATTCCAGTGTCTCAGCCCTTGGCACTTTAGCCTAAAACCATTTTCCAGGGCAGCTCAGTCATAACATCAAAACTCCAAATGCCTTCCCTGAAATAGACTCTGGGAAGGAGGGCATTAGACCCTGCAAAGCTCTCGGGCTGTGTGGGGATCCAGCAGCTTAGTACAGTTTGTTGGAAGTGGGGGCCTTCCATTCCACCAGTCCTTGGGCATCTCGGCTAGGTGTGTGTCTTGGAAGAGAATGGAAGGAGGATGAGGGTGGTGGACACTCCAGCTCCCTTGTCTAAAAAAACAGGCCTTACAATGTTGTTCGGGGCATTATTTTTTAAAAGAAAAGGGAAATGGGCAGTATTAAACTTTTTTAACTTAAGAGGGTGGAATGTACCTGACAGTAGAATCTAGGATGTTGGAATGGAAAATCTCTAATGTACCAAAGCATAGAAATCATTGAGACCCCCACCCATTGTTCAGATGAAGAAACTAAAGCTCAGGGGGGAAGGAACTTCCCAGGGTCACACAGCCAGTCACAGGCAAAGCCAGATTTCCTGGTGCTCAGTCCTTGCCTTCCCATTCTGCCACAGGGAGTGAACCGAGGAAGCCATAGCAAGATTCGGGGGCTGCTTAGTTGCTGTGAGTGCCCTAGCCTGTGTGCTAAATTGGGTAGACGTCTTAGGGTGTTGGGGAAACACTTGGCCTCTATTTGAGTGCTGCTGTGGGGGAGAGGGAAACTGGGTTTAAGATTCGAAAACTTGGGGGTGATTATGATGGGATTTTGTTGGGGAGAGGGACGCCCCATCAGACCACTCACTTTAACTCTGAGAGCTTTGGGTCTTCTCATCTCTGAAATGGGGATCATAAAACCAGCCTCATCTCACAGGATCAACATGGAGATTAAATGAGATAATAAAGTCAAGGGTGCTTGTACACCACAGTGGAGCGTCCTATGAGGCTGCGCCCAGGTGGTGTGGGGGGAACTGAAGCCCAGCAGAGGCACGGCTCACGGTGCTTAAGCGTTATTCCTCTCAAAGAGGAAAAATATTAAAACACACCATTGTGGTGTAGCTTGTAAAATTCACGTTTTAAAACAGGATGTTTCAGGGAAATTTCATGCTGATGACAGGCTCTTCCCCAGTCCCTGGAGATGTGTTTGCTCTCTCCTGCTGCCAGGAGTGCTTTGGAGGGCGAGTGTGAGAGACCTGGCTGTCTGGTCACGTTTTGGGAGCGGTAGGGCTGTCCACTCCTGCTGATGGAGGCAGAGTCTGGAGGGCCGTGGAAATGTCTGTAGCTGTGGCCCACCGGAGGAGTGGAGTCAATGGTGGAAGTACAGCATGGAGGCCCTGAACCTGGAGTTCAAATTGACGGTTTAGAGACCTCTAAACATCAGCGCAAATCCAGTCTCTGTTCCTGCTCCATACAGAGCAATCTGGGGGAACCTGGGGCAAGGGCTGCCCAGCGGGGCGGCCCTCCTGGCCGCAGAGTAGTCTTCAGGCTCCTTCCTGCCAGGAATCTGCCCACAAGGCAGAAATTTAGGACCGTGCCAGGCTTGGCCTGACATTAAAGTTTCTGTTTGCCTTTATTTCGTCCACAAGGTCTCTACGTACTTAGGGAGCAGACATCACTCAAGGTCAGAGCTCTGACCTCTGACGAGGGTGGTAGGAGTGGGGCAGATATTCACCACATGTAATAGGGAGAGAAGCAGGCTCAGGAGTCTAGAGACCGCGTCTTCTCAGCTCTGCTGCTACCTTGGCTGGTGATCCTGGACAAGACATTTTACGTCTCAGCCTTGGCTGCCTGTAAAAGGGAGAAGAGGCTCTTAGCATTCTTAGATGTATTTGCCTCCCTGACTGGCTTACAGATTGGTACCATTCTTATTTGCCTTGGTTAGGTGTCCATCTAGCCCTTTTTTTTTTAAAACGTTACCATATAGTCAGTTCCAACTCATGGCACCCCCCATATGCTTATTAGAACTGCTCCATAGGGTTTTCAAGTCTTGACCTTTGGGAAGCAGATCACCAGAATCCAAGGTCATCAGGAAGTTCCCTGTGTAGCCACAAAATTTTGAAAATAACACTTCTTCATTAAGAACACTTGTTGAAAAAAGTTTTAGTGTGTGTGTTCTGCATGTATATCCACATATATACAAACAACGTAGGGGGCACAGTCACGAAGGCTTCCTAGACATATCCAAACAACTCATGGGATTGGTTTACGGGGCAGAAGGCCTGGGACCATAGTCTCGGGGACAACTCAGTCAATTGTCATACCAGTTCACAAAGATAATGTTCTACATCCAAGTTTAGTGAGTAGCGTCTGAGGTCTTAAAAGCTTGGCGACAGCCATCTAAGATACAACTATTGGTCTGTACTTGTATGGAGCAAAAAAGAGTAAAGGAAATCAAAGGCTTGAAGAAGCTAGTCCATGGGGCTAATAGCCCACATGAACCACAACTTCTTCAAACCTGATAACCAGAAAAACTAGATGGTGCCCAGCTACCACTACCAACTATTCTGACCAGGGACGCAGTAGAAGGTCCAGAAGAGAATGGGAGAAAAATGTAGAACAAAACTCAAATTCCTAAAGTCCAGACCTACTGGACCGATAGAAACTAGAGGAACCCCTGAGATTATCACCCTAAAATACCCTTTGAACTTGGAATTGAAGCTGTTTCTGCAGTCCACCTTTCAGCCAAATAATGTGGTTGTTAGGTGCTATCAAGTGGGTTCTGACTCATAGTGACCCTGTGTGCAACAGAACAAAACACCGCCTGGTCTTTCACCATCCTCACGATGGTTGCTATGTGTAAGCCCATTGTTGCAGCGACTGTGTCAATCCATCTTGTCAAGGGTCTTCCTCTTTTTCACTGACCCTCCACGTTAACAAGCATGATGTCTTTCTCCAGGGACTGGTCCTTCCTGATAACATGTCCAAAGTACCTGTGACAGTGTCACCATCCTCACTTCCAAGGAGCCGTACTTCTTCCAAGGCAGACTTCTTCTGGCAGTCCATGATATATTCAGTATTCGCCACCACCATAATTTGAAGGTATCAATTCTTCAGTCTTCTTTGTTCAGTATCCAGCTTTCACATGCATATGAGGCGATTGAAAATATCATGGCTTGGGTCAGGCGCATCTTAATCCTCAAAGTGACATCTTTGCTTTTCAACCCTTTAAAGAGGTCTTTTGCAGCAGATTTGCCCAGTGCAATAATAAGTCGTTTGATTTCTTGGCTGCTGCTTCCATGGGTGTTGATTGTGTATCCAAGTAAAATCCTTGACAACTTCAGTGTTTTCTTCATTTATCATGATGTTGCTTATTATAAAATAATGTCACCCATGAGTAATGTGCTCCCTTAAACAATTAACTGCACGAGACTAAACGGTCAATAGTTAACCCAAAAGCAAAGATGAGACAACAAGGAGGGGAAGGGACGCTAGATCAATGGAAACAGTATAAACAAAATGGAAATAATGAGAATACTGACACATTGTAAAAATTGTAACCAATGGTGCATAAAAATTTATATAAAAATTTTAAAAAGGGAACCTAATTTGCTGTGTAAATGTTCACCCAAAACAATAAAATATTATTTTTAAAAAAGTTTTAATAAGGGATTTGTATCCCAGAATTCAAAAAACTTTATTGAGAACTAATGCATTCCAAGGACTATGGCTACATCAAACAAAACAGGATAGATGAATGTATAAACAAAGACCTCTAGCACAAGGTGATATGCAGTAAGAGGCCTACAGGGGAGCACACAGAGGAGAGACCAGCTAACTCTACTT